TGTTCTATAGCCTCTACCGTTGACTGTATTTGAGTTAGCTTCTCTATTACGCGAGTTATCTCTATATTCGTAATTGTTTGAATCATATCTATGGCTTGGATTTCTTTCGTAATCTTGATATGTATTAGTCTCGTTTTGTATTTTGTTGTAATATTGTCTCTCTCTGGACTGTGATCTGTCTCTACCATATTGTCTATTTGTGCTAGATTCTCTACTTCTGTCATTAAATCTTCCTGGGTATGGACTTTTATCTTTGTATTCACGTTGTCGTCCTCGATAATTTGTTTCTCTATTATAACTTCTGCTCCTATCTTCATTATAGTTATAATTTTTATTATTATATCGATTATCTATTTCTTCATCATCGAAGTTTACCGATTTATTTCTTCTTCCTGTAATGTTGATTTGTTGAATATTTTCCCTTAACTGGTTCATCTCCTTTTTGTATTCTCTATCTCTCTCTATTAACTGTCTTTTTAGTTCATCGATTTCTCTTCCTTTTTCTTTTGTTTTTTGGTTTAGTTGAGATACATGTTCATTAAGCATTTCTGTATAATCACTTAATTCTGGTCCTCTGTTATTAATTCGAAATTGCATCAATTCAAATTTTTTTAAATTTTTCTTTAGCTCCTTTAGGTTGCTATTGTCATGTAATGAAATTGCATGTAAGACTGTCTCTTTTAATCCCTTTAAAATATAAGTGCAAATTTCATCTTCATGCATATTTTTATTTAATTGTCTACATATATTTTCTATTTCTGTTACAAAACTCATTATAGACTCTGTATCTCCTTGACGTCTAATTTCTAATCTAGTTTTCAAAATTGTACTGTAACCGATTGGTTAAAATTCGTCGAGAAACTCCTGTTTCAAATCATTCCATGTCCAATTATTATGTTTGTCCTCCAAATTTTCCAAAAATATGCTTGCTGTACCTTTTACGAATATCGATAAAAATCTTACTTTATCTTCGTCCATCCAACCGTTTACATCTGCTGCTTTTTCGTATTGCTTGAAATATTTTCTTACGTCCTCATTACCTGAGAACTGGTCTGGTCGAATCATTAGAATTTTTTCTGTCATTATCTGTGTTTGTTTATTTAACAGAGTAGAATGAATTTCAGAGTTTAGGTTATCTCCTTTTTGATTATTTTTTTTTTTTATTGCTGTGTTTTCGTTTTTGAATTTTGGTTTTTCACTTGTGTTATGAGAATCAATAGTTGTTGAACTATTAAGATTTATTAACTTATTTTCAATAATCTCACTATTTTCTGGTTGAGTATTTTATTTTAATCCCTCATAAATATTATTAGAAGTATCATTAATCTTAAGATTTTTTTAATATATTTTCATAAGTATCAGAACTTTCCTTTTGACAATTTTGGTAAGTTATATCTGAATTTGTTAGAATATTTTCGGTGTTATTCACAAATGAGCTTGTACTGGCATTAAGATTATCGTATAATTTTAAATTATCTTTTGATATTTCTGAAAAGCTGTCTGAAGTTAATTTATTAATTGTAATTGTCTGCATCACAGTCAGATGTACTGTCTACAAATACAATATTACTAGATGACTTTAATGAATGGGCTCGTTGCATAAGTGAGGTAATAATAACTAATGCAAATGGATCTTCCTTGAACTTAACTATTACATTTCTCTCTTTGTATACATCAATCTTTTGTATTATTTTCTAGAAAAAAATATCATAAGTAATATCGTAAGTTATTATATCCTTAGATTTTATTTATTTCATTTAATCTTCAAGAAGATAATGGTCCCCTTTTACTGAATGCCTAATTAAGTAGGATTGTATACATTTCAGATCAGAAAATTAAATAACTTTTTAGCTTTTTTTTAATATAGGTCTATTAGCTTATAATTTCTAACTATAGAAAGAAAATAAGTCAGCTTTTTTTTAATTTTTCATGAAAAACAAAAACAAAAGTTGTATGAAGTTTAATGATGTAAGTTTGGAAATTTGGCATTCATTTTTAATCAATCATGTTAAATTAATTTACTATATAGACCCATTAGAAAACACCCAGAGTTTTGTATTAATTTATTATTTAATTGATATGTGTCTTCTTTTTTTAGTACCTAACTATAAAGCTAACTTAACCTTTTAATAATAAAAAATCTTAAAACCATATTTGTAATACAAGACCAAAGTAAAATATTTTATATATTCACAACATTCAGACATACTCTGAAGATGGAGCATGGATAAATCCAAAATATATTGTTATAACTCATAATAAATTGTCTATGAAAACTTCAACTACTTTCTTAAATTGTTAAATACTAATGAAATATGTATAAAATTACAAAAAATTACCTCAATCAAACCTGATCCAGACCGTGGACCTAAATTTTCCAACCTCCATTAATTGTGCCAATTTTGGACAGTTCTATAAGTTGGATTAATAGATCCATTAACCAAGACTTCCAGTGAAAAATTTTCTTTTAATTCTAAAATGGGCTCATGACAATTAATTGCATCAGTTATACCCATATTATCGTTATAATACTCGAAAAAGGTATTTTTAAGTATCTTATCTGCTGGTAAAAAGCGTAAAGTTTCAGCAGTGTCAATACTATGGTTATGTTTATTTTTAATTCTTATTACACCATATAACCCATTCTGAAAAATAATTTTACTTAATGTAATTAATTAAATAATATGTAAGTAAAATTTTCAAACAAGAGAATTATAATTATAAGTACTTATCAAGGTGGTGAGTATCTTAATAATGTATTTAAATAAGTAATAAGAAAAATATACAAATAACCAAACCTTAATATAGGGATCAACTTTTCGTGTAGAATGAGTATTTAATTTTACCTTACATGTTACAGAAGCTAAACAGTAAGCATTTTTTGAGTTCCCTTTTTATTTTATTCTCTGGAAACTTTACGAAAGGAGCTATGCTGACATACAAAGTTTTTCCTGGAAACAAATAATAAAAACGTAGGTACTAAAGATCTAAACTATTAAAAAATTATAACTCATTTAAAATGAGCATGGTATTGATAAATATTAAATTTATATTCTTGAGTTTTACTGCTTTGTAATTTTTGATTCAAAAAAAGACAAATTTGTTTAAGTATTTTACAGATTTATGATCATACACGAATAATCAAAAAATACTTATCAGTTACCTATCTACCATAATAAAAAAAGTATGTACAAAAAACTTATGTTAATTAGGTATTTTTAGATTTTTCATCTTTTTTTTATCAGAAATTGTAAAATCTTTATAAAGTTATAAAGATATTATAAAACTAAATAAAACTATTTTCAAAATGTTTTTATTTAATATATTAGGTGTATAAACTTTGTAATGAGACAAAACGGAGTGACCAAGTAAGTGGCGCACTCTTGTGTTGCATCATTACCCCGCTCATTGATAACTACCGCCGCGCGCTCACGCCTCCGAGAAACGCCGCCGGAAGACAGTACAACGTAACATACCTACCTACCCGAAATATAGATAGCACTGCTCCGCATCGGATTAGAAGTCCGGACGCCGCCCGCAGTAGAATCAAGTTTACAGTATGAAGCAAACAGAGTAGAAGCTTGAAATAAACAAATTCAGAATCAGCGGATTCCATACTATAATATTAATACTGCTAAACACTTCAACACATCACCGAAAGAACCAAGCAACCAGAAGTGTCAGTCAGTATTTTGATCGGGACCCACTGCCACCGAACCACAGATATATAGGCCGCCGACCGTCGATTCAACAACACTCATTTTCCCCTGCTGAGCGAGGACGACCTGCGAGCCGGACAATATTTGCACAGTTTCTGCTGTGATACAAATATTGTAATACGGACGCATATCTCCTGCTATCCACAGCACACCGCCCCTCAGACTGAGTACGCCGGACGATAGTAAATATCGTAACACGGGATACTCTACAGTCTGACCCGGCATTCCTGTACTCCACCACCTTTGAAGTGCGTCACGAGGCAGAATTGTTGTACGCGTCTCCGTTACTGTGCGCCGCCATCAGAGCCGAGCCAGCCAGTTTCCTGAGAACCACCGTACAACCTACACATACCGGGCAGACAAGGAGGAATCCAGTTCACCAGCCGTCAACAATCATACTGTCAGCATACCGCCATCAGAGCCACGTCACTGCTGATCACATCAAATCACGTAAGCCTTTCGCCACAAGTGTTACTGCGTGGTCGATCGTGCCACAGTCCGTGGAAGCGCGCCGCCATCCGAGTCGAGTCAGCCAAACCACGAGAAATTCCGAACCACAACCGTGAGTTCCATGTTAAGCATATTCCCACCCCTTTATGTAACCCCAATAAATATTTGTATTGTACACTCTAACGAGTATAACTTAAATAATTGATATAAAAAGAAAATATTGTTATACAAAACTTGTTAATTATATCAAACTCAGATAATGAGCATATTGGTTCAAAATATTATATATTAATAAAAACAATTGATTACCAACCAATAGCGTTTCATTACATTTGGCGCCCAACTACAGTGCTCGAAAACAGAAGAAAATTCTACTTCGACCTCAAGATTAAAAGTTTGAAGATTTTTCTACGTCATTGTCTACATCGATTTGCAAAGAAGAAACTACATCGTGAACATGGCACCGAAAAAAAATGTTACAGAAGAAACATTCCACGCGTTCCGACGTGAAGTCGAACGAAACAGTCAGTAGCTAGTTGACCAATTATTACAAAAAATTAGTAAACTAGAATAAAAATATACCAACTTAGAAGACGAAAATAATCGAAAAATCGCAGAAGTCGTAGAAAACTACGAATGGAAAATTGAAATAATTGAGGAACAACTCAACGACGAAAAAATAAAATACGATCGCAATAACAGACAACCAGTGCATAATGAGTATAACAATAAACCGGAACAAGTGCACAACACCGATATATCGCGTCCAGTATTTTACGGAAGCAATCGCGATGTACACCCGAAAGATTTTCTGTACCGACTGGAACAATATTTTGCAATAAAACAGTCATACGTCCGGGAGAAAATAATTATTGTGGGTGATTGTTTAAAAGGGGCCACATCAAGTTGCTTTTCCACCATTCGATTCCAACTAACAAATTATGACGACTTTAAAAGGGCATTCATAGACGAGTTCTGGTCCAGAGAGATACAGATACAAGTGTGGAGTCAATGCTTAAGTACGAAACACGTACCCACCAATGCCAACTATCATGAACATTTTTCCACATGGGCAACAAAACTTCGACACTTAGAAGTACTACGATTGTCCGAAAATGAAAAAGTGAAGCATATAGCAAGACATTACCCAGGATAACTTAAATAATTGATATAAAAAGAAAATATTGTTATACAAAACTTATTATTTATATCAAACTCAGATAATGAGCATATTGGTACATGGTCGAGAAGATCTAGCATTCCATTTAATATTATTTAATTTTCCAAATTCAGAAACCCACAAATTACATTCTTCTATAGATTTAATATTTGATCGAATAACATATTCATAACATTCTAGTTCAGTTACTATTTTGTTAATGAACGACTTAGGCAAATGGAGATTCATTTTGTAAATTATAATGGTAATTTTTATAATTAAAAACCGTACTGTACAAGTACATTCTACTACAAGCAACAACCCATTGACGCATTGTGATAACATAACAATCATTATTATAATAGTTACTTGTTTTATTATAGCTAGGAGACTATTAATGATAATAAATGATATTAATAATTATTTTAATAATACACCCAATATTATAAATAGCAACAACCCATTGACGCAATGTGATAACATTACAATTATTATTATAATAGGTACTTGTTTTATTATAGCAGGGTATAGACACTCTGTGTATTGGCAAAATTGGGTGACTGTGGCCTTGAGCACGGTCTCTAAGGGGGCGTGGTATATGTTATCATTTAAATAAATCATATCAATATTATCAGTCCACAGAATAATAATACAATATATTATTTCATTAACAATAAACCAATGTAAAATTACATTATAGTTTTTAATTTATATTAAAACAAAATCCTTATTCATTTTACCAAAATTTAATATTGATATACTTAAAATATGAAAAATATATTATTTATCGTTATTAATCGTTTATAACAATTCCGTAACAAAGAGGGATGCACGTTGCTAACGTTCTATCAGATTACGGATTCGGTACAACTTTTATAGTCCAATACATCATACCGTAGGGATACGTAAACCCTCACAGCTGTTCGAGTGTCTATTCTATATTGTTCTGTGATTATAGCTAACTATTAATAATATTATTTCAAATCTCAAACATAGGATCAATTTTATGTGAAAAACTAAACATTCATTTATTAAGCTTCAAAAATGTTAAGGAATTAAAATGTTTTTGTATAATCTATGGCATTATATATTTATATAGCAATTATTTTTATTTTTATTTATTAATTCTGTTGATTCTTATGTATTCTGTTTGACATAATAACATGGATACCTAATTTATAAACTGAACTCCGCTCTAGTTTATTGTTGTACCTATATTTGCAAAAAATAAATATTATAAACATTATAATTATAAATATATTTTATGTAAAACCGCGGAATCTACTTGAAAACTACTTGGATATTCAAAAAATGACCTCCCAAAATTACCAACTAGATTTCCCATCGAACAAGTTGAAAATCGAAGCATCATTTCGACTATAAATCGTGTACACAGACACAAAAATGAAAAAATAAAAAAATATATATAAAAACACGCATCATTGTAAAATAAATACATTCTCGCTCCGCTCAGAATCTAAAATAGTTGGTGAGCATAGTTAAAAACCTCTGTATATGAATAATATTTTTTTAAATGATTAACTCAAAGAGATTATCTTTGCTTTGTCACGGCTATAATTTACCTTTAAGTCGACTGCATAAAAGCTATTTTTATATAATTGTTAAGCTATAATAGTTATTTCTAGAAGCTAATAAAAAAAAAAAAAAAACAAGGGGTTCAAGGGTTTTGTGCGCGATGTCGATGGCCGGGGGGCCATGATATTTGCATGCACAACCTTGATACAATTAGTTGTAAGCAACAATGTTGAAGAAATTCATATTGATGCAACATTTAAGGTTGTTCCGTCAAATATGGGAAGGCAAATGTTAAGCATTCATTGCATGATAGGGAACCATGTATGTTATTTTAAGATTATACAACTTAATATTTTATTACCAAAATACACAAGGTAACTGCAAAGTAAAAACAATCACAAATTTGACTAAATTGTTTAGATTAGTTTTATTACTATTTAATAATAATACAATTTAATATTTGATGAATTTCTTTCCTGTTTAGTCCATACCCATTGTGTATTGCCTCATGGAGGCTAAATCCAGAAATGCTTACAACAGTGTTTTTAGTTTTTTTTAAATTAAACATTCTGACAAACTTAAATCCGACCATCATTATAACAGACTATGAGATGGCACTTAGGGATACTCTATCATTCTATTTCCCCAATGCACGCACTGTAGGTTGTTGGTTCCACCATAACCAAGTAAGTTAACTAATATAATTATTAAAAATAATTAAAAACTATTTTAATTTTTTATTATATACCTATAACCTCATTTCTTTAAAGGCTGTTTGGAAAAATATGAAGAAAAAAGGATTTTTGCATTTAACAAATTCAAATGAATATGCTTCAAAAGCTTTGAAAATGCTGTTGACTCTGCAATTTTTACCATCAGGTGACATCCAGAGAGGATTTGATACAGTGAGGTTATACGCGATAAACCACTATGTTACGATGGTTGGTCTATTTGATTACTATCAAAAGTAAGACATTTTTTTTTTAAATTTTGTATTATTTCTAAAAGCTTAAGTTTCTTTTATTACATATATTAGTCTTTATTTTTTTTTTAAGTGAAAACTTCTTTAGGCACGTTGGGCACGTATAAGAAAGCATTTGCGAGTGAGGAAAAAAGTATGATCTCGCGACACCGCCGCCGCGAGTATATGAATTGCTAAATGCAGAAAGGGCACATGTCCAATATTTTACAAAAATCACTTTATTGCATAATCGAATTTATATTGATAAATACATGGTTTTGTGCAGACAAGGCACATGTCCTATTAAATAGATCCCCGTTAAAAATAATTTAAAATTTCGTTAAATGCAGAAAAGGCACATGTCCTGGACATGTAACCTTTTTGCATCAAAATTATACTTTAGTAATATTATCAAACCTAATCTTCGTGAAATCACTTTATTGTATGACATGTAATATTTTTCTATTTATAAATTTAATTTTGTACAATTGTTTATCAGTAAATAAAGATTATAATGGTGAAAACGTTGCTATACCTACTTATAAAATAAAATGATTATCAGTGAATAAAATAATATTGTACTGGTTGGAATTATCTGTCAATACTTTTGGTATTCATAATTTAAAGACGAATAATTTATTTTGTTATGTTTATCATGAGGCAACAGCAAGAAAAACACCAAATGATGTATGCTCTTTTTTGGTTCACTATATTAATAGTTTTGTTGATGATGATGTTGAGGAATTTCATTTGTTTTGTGACAATTGTGCTGGGCAAAACAAAACCAACGCATTACTCAGAATGATTATGGCTCTATTTGAAATTAAAAAATTCAAAAAAGTTCAGGTGTTTTTTCCACAAAGAGGATACTAGTTTTTGCCGTGTGATCGTGACTTTGCATTGATAAAAAAACAACTGAACAGAGTGGATCGTCTATACACTTTAGAAGACTATATAGAACTTATTTTAAAATCATCAAGAAATCCAAAAAAATGTTCAGTGTTTCTAGTTGATAAAAGTATGATTTATGACTATCATATATACATGTAGGTACTCTTCTAGTTTTCACTTCTATCGGCAGTCCCCCGACTGGTTAGGTTTTTTTTAACATTGTAGTTATTAGTAATATTGATAGGTGATAACAGCGGTGGCATCTGATAACACCAGTGACCGTTAATGTTGTAGTTTGTACTGTTTGTAGTATTTAGTATTAACTGGCCGCCCGTCGAGTGCGTATGCCAGCGGATCCCCGCTCTGCATATGCCCTACAACACCACGTTATTATATTTATCAATTCTACCTATAATTTGTAGTGAACTCTATTTTTCCGTTGTTTGTATTTATATTATAATAAAGTATTCGTGTGCCATTGTACAACATAAAGTGTGTAACTTAATTATATTATACCATAACCCATATCGCCCTACAACATAAATTTGTTTTTGGACTGGCTACAGATATTATATTTTTGTAGCTGATTTTTTTGTTTTGCTGATTACCATGAAAACGAATAAAATGTAAAAATTACCTAATTCCCACTTGGTATATACACAATTAATGTTTACATATTAATACATATTTTTGATTCATACATTTTCTTCGGAGTGGTAAATATTAAGTAAGGTGCTATGTTTTTTTGAAAAAAAATCATTTACTAATCATATAAAAAAAAACTATAACCTAAGGACATTGAAAAAATATCACAGCAAGATTTTTTGTATTATTATTATTATTTATCTATTATAACTTTATTTTAAGCTTTTGGTTTAGGCGCTTGGTTGACACATTATCGGTGAGTGGCCTACCAAGGCGTACCAATAATTGTGTAGAAAGTTTTCACAATAGTTTGAGGACAAAATTCAATGTGGTTCACCCGAATTTGTGGAAATTTTTAGGTAAGCATATTTTTTAAGATTCATTAATAATTAATAGAATTGTTACGTACGGCCCTTCAGGGATCCAAAAGCTGTTGCACTTTTACAATAATTTAAGACATTTTGTTAAGATTACGTCGGCAATTGGGTCATGACAATACGTAAATATTATGATTAGCATCACACATTAATCCATGCGCTTCTGATAGTCCTAACATTCTGCCGTTTCTATTTAATTTTCCTAAATACACTGAATATAAAACTTCTTTAGTTTCTAAATTTGTTAGTTCTAAATTAAATTCATCATTATTCCTAACACTATAATCTCTTTAACTTATTTTCGTAAGCATAAGAGTACCTCCTTCCAATTTCTTAGGCTGGTATTTTTCAAACTATTCGAAATCGCCCCGGGTACCAACAATGTTTCTTCTTTACTGGCCGTAAAGAATTCGAAATCCACTATGAAAAAACGGATCTGTGAGCTAAAATAAAATGTATTACTTAAGGGTCAGTAACACTATAATTTAATATTATTATAATATTATTATATATGTATGTTTTTATTTCTTGGAACTATTCTTCGTTTACCGGTTAGATCACCACGCCTCTTGCTATAAATCGTTCTAGCAATAAACCTAATTCTACACAAATGGGTCTGTTGTGGTTCGGTCGTTCAACTACCGCGCGTACAAAATTATTCACATATACCATAACTCTTTCTAAAACAAGTGGTCGAAAGGGGTGTGTCATATTCTCATTTGCCCTTAGTAGATACATTATGTATGTATGTTTGGCAGACAGCCACACCCAACTTTTACACTTATTACTCATCTTATGAATTAATAAAATAGTTATCTATTGTTATTTAAGCATGGAAACATATGACAATGTACACAAGACGTGAACAACACACAAATGAAATAATATTACTCCAACTCTTAATTTAAGTTTTATTAATAAAACATATTTACGAATTTGCGATAATGTTGTAATCTTCACTATTAAATATCTATCATACTCGTTAAAGTTGCTTCAAGGACGTCGTTCCGTAAATTAAAGTTAAAAATATTAACTCTAGATTTTCACCCGCTTGCCTTACTGACTTCATCTATCGGTAAATGTCAATTATCGGCCGATAACAAACAATATAAGAGACAAAATAACTCAGTACACGAAAATTGTATAGCACACGCCAGAATAACATGGCAATATTATTAATAAAAAAAAAAGTATACAAGTTTCTGGATTTTAAATACACGGGTAATCCTAATACACGGGTATCTGAACTTTTAATACACGTGTATTAAGATACACGTGTATACGAACTTTAAAAACACGTGTAATTAAATACACGGGTATTCCTACATTTTATTGTACAATGTTCGGACTACGTGTACACGTGTATATTAATACACGTACCAAATCGAGAGCCCTAGTCGTAAACGTCATGTTTACACGGCCGCCCGAAACCCGACTTTTTTTGCATTTTTTTTTCAAGTTATTTTTCATATAAATTAAATAATAATATAATAATACAGGAACATATCG